AATAAATAGGGAGAGAGTGGAAGGTGGATAGAGGAGAGGATAGGTGGAGAATTCTTGGTTGAGGAAGAAGGTGGACATTTTGGAGGGTCCCTTGTTGAAGTTGGCCTCATCTGAACATATGCGATGGAGATGGAAGAACTGAGAGAATGGGATGGAGGAAGCAGGGTGTGAGGATGTATAGTCCAGGTAGCTGTGGGAGTCAGTGGGTTTATAGTGGATATTAGTGGCCAGTCTATCCCTAGAAATGGAAACAGAAATGTCGAGGAAGGGAGGGGAGGAGTCAGAGATAGACCAGGTGAAAGTGAGGGTAGGGTGGAAATTGGAGGCGAAATTGTTGAAGTTTTCCAATTCTGGACGAGAGAGGGAAGCACCATCGATGATATCATTGATATATTGGAGGAAGAGTTGTGGGTGGGGGCTGGAATTGGATTGGAACAAGGAATGTTCCATGTACCCCACGAAGAGACAGGCATAACCAGGGCCCATGCGGGTACCCAGCCACCCCTCTGACCTGAAGAAAATGAGAGGAGTTAACAGAGAAGTTGTTGAAGGTGAGGACGAGCTCAGCCAAGTGGAGGAGGGTAGTGGTTCAGGTCTTTGCTCGAAGAAGAAACAGAGAGCCCTAAGATCTATCATTTACTCCTTACCCCGACCCTATCTTCTGCATAAAAGTCAACAATTCCCTAGCTACCATCCGTTCTGAGGAAGGGTCACCTGACCCATAATGTTAACTCTGATTTCTCTCCACAGATGCTGCCAGACCTGCTGAGCTTTTCCAGCAATTTCTGGTTTTGTTCCAGATTTCCAGCATCTGCAGTTTAATCGGTTTTTACCAAGCTGCTGCCCTGGGCTGAGAAGCATGCTGCTCTGTCCAAGAGGGAGATCGTTCCAATTCCAGTCCTGAATGCTGCACATCTCCATCAGCGCCATCTCCGCGCCTCACTTCCTCAGCTCCAGCTCCGAAAGTAACTTCAGATCCAAGACAATGCCAGCACCACCCAGAATGGATCACAATGGATCAGAACAGATCACACCAGGATAGGGTTCATACCGGGACAGGTTATCACACTGGGTTACAACAGATGACACCATAACAATGAATCAAGTCAGAGCACACCATGACAAAGGGTGTAACACTGGATCAAAGTGGAACAGGAGATCATACCAGATTACATCAGGACAGAGGATGATACTGGAATAATGGCATCATACCATTGCATTTTCACAATGCAAAACTGGGGGTCACACCAGGACAGGGGGGTCAAATTGAGATGGGGGAATGAGGGGCTCGGAGTGGGATTGGGGGTGAATGAGAGGGTCGGATTGGGATTGGGGGGGAATGAGAGGGTCGGATTGGGATTGGAGGGAATGAGGGGGTCAGATTGGGATTGGGGAGAATGGGTGTGTCACATTAGGATTTGGGGGAACGTGGGTGTCAGATTGGGATTGGGGAGAAATAAACAAGGTCGGATTGAGATTGGGGGATAAGGGTGTTAGATTACAATTTGCAGGGAACAAGAAAGTCGGATTATAATTGGGTGTAATCGGGGTGGGGGGCTGGATTGGCTGGAATGAGGGGGTCAGGTTGGGATGTGGGGGTGAGAGGTCTGATTGGGATTGGGGATGAATGAAGGGATCAGATTGGGGGGAATGAGGGGCTCTGAATTCAATGATGTATTATGAGCTCTCACTGCCAATACCTCTGGCTCCAATTTCCCTCAGCGCTGAGTATTCGACCTGGAATTCTGGGCACATTCCCCTCCCCCCCTCAAAACTCCCAGACCATCCTGGTCTGAACTAACACAGCCTAATGATCAAAAATCAGCTGAATAATTCCCAAAAGTCCTATTGCTTCCAAACATAGGGAACTGTCTTTGATTCTAACATTGAACACAGAGCAATCTCTCTTTTTAAATAACAGTGATGCACTAAGACCCAATGGGAACTTAGTGCTTGTGCTACATCAGTAATCTCTGGGGAAAGTCTCACCCTCCAGGTTCCATTCAGCTTCCTCATGCTGTCCAAATGTACAGATACAATCAGGCAGTTTATATAGTGTCACTATCTGTGCTCCATCTGCGAGTCAGGTAGTCTGAGTTCAAGTCCCATCTGCTCCAGAGGTGTGTTACCACATCCCTGAACAGGTTAATTTGAACATAGCTACAAGGATCAGATTACAACCAGGCTCACGAATTGCTAAACAATAGTGTGTTCACATGGTAAGTTCAAATTTCACTAAAATCAATGTTAGTAATTTTATCAAATTGATAGGATTTCAATCAAGTGTGTATTCATATTGTTCAGTTCAGTTCCTTAAAGTTGGAAATACTCCCGGGAGTGACAGAACCTGGTTAGATACAGAATAAAGTTCCAGGAATATGCCAGCACAGGAAGTGGTAGAGGTGGGTACAATTACAACGGATAAACTTCCAGTGCAGGGTTGGCACCGTGAAGCAGGATGAGGCAAACTTGTGTTCCTTCTTCCAGAAGGTGCACAGGGAGGGCTCTGTGCTCAGCAGCCTGAAGGAAGATGGCGGCTCGGGAACATCAGTCTGACATCCTAAGGATCAGCAAATCCTTTTGTGCCAGACTATGACACAAAGCCCACAGACAGCGGGGCCTTCCAGACATTCCTGTTCTTTATCATGGAGATGTTAGACAACAACACGTGGGAGAGGCTAGACCAGGCGCTGTCTGGATGAGCTGACCAAGGCCCCTAGTCCTTAGAGTAAAACTCCTGGAAGCAACATCTTACCAGGTGAGTTGTATTGGAATGTGCCTTTGTGAAGGAGGTTTGGAGAAAGGTGCAATGGTTTTTGTTGAGGTTCATCCCAAGCAGCTCCGTAGCACAGGACTGTGCTCTACGGTCTGTTCCCTGGGATGTACAAAGAGACAACCATCAACTGTGCCTGGAGGACTATCAATGCAGTCAAAGATGCTCTGTGGTCTGCCCGAAACTTGTTGGTCTTCCAGAGTAAGGATTAGACCTTGACCAAGTGTTGCAAACTGGCACATTCCGAGGTTCAGGACTATGTGCTAAAAGACACTTAAAACCTGGAGCATCCGTTACCAAGGTGCAGTAGGGAAGGAACACCATCTGAGGTCACCCTGTCAAAGTGAAATTGGGCTCCATTCAGTAATCAGACCCTCCCAGTGCCTCAAACATATGTAAATAGTATCTTGCATAAGTAAGAAATGCCTTGGGTTCGTTGGGACTGTCAGTAGAGTCAAACTCCGATGTTTGTTTGTTCTGCTCAGGGAGGGCAACATACCATCCTGGATTCTGCTCAGACTGAAGCTGAGCTGGGCATAACGCAGCACGTTGGAAAAAGAACATATGGAAGAAAACAGTCCACAGCACACAGGGAAATCAGAGGGATAAAGGCCGGAGTTTCTACAAATTAAAGTTTACTGCAAACTTGTGGGAAGCAGAGACACAGTGATTGGATATCTGGGATTTTCCCTGTTATAGATTGTAATTCTCCTCACCCTGAGATACAACACTAACACAGACACGGTGTGGAGTCCAAATCCAATTTATTGTTTAAATTTAGGAATCATAGTATTGCAGATGGAGATATAACGTATAACGAAGCTTCTCCCTTCGCCCATTGTCAAAAAATAATAAATCTGATCATCTTCCCCTCCCCCCGACCCCCAAATAATCAAACACTTCCCTCTGACCCTGAACAATTACACAAAGCAGTCCCTATCAGCTATAGCCCCCCATTGACTGGGATTGAAGGTCTCGGGAATCAGGCTCCCCCCCTCCACCGTCTGGGGGACTGGCCCATGAAGGGCTGGTTGGATTGAGTGGACGTGAACCTCCAGAACCAGAATTGTATCTGACATTGCAGCCAGAACGTGAGTGAGCTGGAGCTCAGGGTCATTCTCCTGTAGAGTCCCTTCCCTTCAGCCCAGTGATAACGAAAGAGCTTTACGTGTTACAATACAACAGTGAAAACACGCCCCAGATTGAAGTGACTAAATGAAGCTGCATCCCACAGTCAGTACAGAGATCAATGCAAATCAAAGCTTAAATCAGCAGGTTTGCTAAATAGAGCGAACAAATTTATAATCAAGATTCTCTCACTCTTTTATTCATGTAAACCACCCCCCGCCCCCAAATTCCCCAATTCTTCATCAATTCCTTTCGCCACCTTATTCCTGGGATTTCAAGCAACGTGTGTGGGACATGAGAAGCTGCTGCGGAGGAGAAACAAAGGAGATGGTTACAGAGTGAGGCCACAGGTTAGAGACAGAGAGAAAACCCAACAGAGCCTCCCAGGGGCAATAAACTCCATCAGATATCACCCTTACCACCCCCCAAACCAGCAAACCCATCAGACCCTCCACCTCCTCAAACACCACAGATTTATACAGAGCAGAAATGGCCCATTGAGTCTGTACTGATATAACTACCACTAAAAGTGTGCAAATCCCAATTTCCTGCACTTGTCCCATATCCTTGGATGTTTGATATTTTAAAGGTTTTAAGGCTTCCAGCCTCCACTGCCTTGCAGTGCATTCCAGATTCCCACCACCCACTGAGTGAAATGATTTTTTTCCCCAAATCCTTCCTGAATCTCCTGCTCCTTACTCAAAAACTATGCCTTCTCACGCCTGATCCCTCAGCCAAGGGAAACACCTGCTTTCTATTTACCCTGTCAATGTCCCTCATAATCTTATACACCTCAATCACATCACCCCTCCCAGTCTTCTCTGCTCTAAAGAAAACAATCCAAGTCTATTTACTCTCTCCTTATAGATCAATTTCTCCGTCCCAGGCAACATCTGTGCCCCCTCTAGTGCTGTCACTTCCTTCCTGTAGTGAGGTGACTAGGCCTGCACACAGTACCCCAGCTGTGACCTGACCTATGCTTCTGTACAACTCCAACATTACCTCCTTGCAACGACTGATGGAAGGAAGTGTCCCATATGCCTTCTTAACTATCCTATTCACGTGCTCTGCTGCCTTACCCCAAACCCCTGCCCAAGCTCCGGCAGCCCCCCCCCTCAACACCCGCCCCCACCCCGCAGCCCCCCCCCCCAACACCAGCCCACACCCGGCAGCCCCCTCCCCCACTACCAGCCCCCTCCCTCAACACCAGCCCAAACCCAGCAGCCCCCTCCCTCAACACCAGCCCAGACCCAGCAGCCCCCTTCCCCACTACCAGCCCCCTCCCCCAGTACCAGCCCAAACCCAGCAGACCCCTCCGTCAACACCAGCCCAGACCCAGCAGACCCTCCCCCAGTACCAGCCCAGACCCAGCAGCCCCCTCCCCCAACACCAGCCCAGACCC